TACAGTATCGTAGATTAAAAAGCGAACTACAATAAGGATTTGAATAAAATGGCTGATGGTAATTCCTATTTTTTTTAATAAATCATTTCTAGCAGCAAAAATGTGTTTCCAATAATAATTCAAAGGCAAACCGGCAAGCACTTGTGTAGGTAAGAGGAAATTCGCCTCAGTGGAGAGAAATTTCGGTTTCAGAAGCCTCTTGTCAAAACAATAGTCCTGATTGCTTTGTTTTGTAGCGTAAAACTCCCCATTAATTTTTTATAAAAGCTAATGTTCCACAAAAAAAGTCAATAATCCAATTTCTGAAAAGAATTCATCATATTAAGACTAGAAAATGCTGTATCAGATGTTTGTCATAAAATTTTTATTGCAAAGAAAAATATAGGTTTAATTATTTATTTGTTTATTCGCTTGGTTTGGTACTTTGCAACTGCTTTGCGCTCTTTAAAGTAAAAGTGAATATTAAAAGTTACGGTTTTCACAGTATTTCAGAAATTCAGGAAAGTTATCAACAGAATGATATAGTATCTCAACACCCTATCTTTTACGAATACATCCAGGAATTATTTGTAATACTTGAGAGATATTTAGTGTTAAAGGAAATATGAGTATAGAGCTCAGCATTGATCATTTTTTCCCTTCAGATATGCCCTTTTTTATGCATTCGCTTCTAAACTTTAATATATTTACTTTGTACTATACTACTAAATAATGACCCCTGCTCATGAAAATAAATTAATTTTATGTACAGTCTTTCTACCATAATAAAAGTTCTCATCAATTAGTCTGCAGCTGTCTGCTGCCATAGAAACGAGAATTGACCTATTTTCCGTAAGGATATCTTAAAGATTTAATTTTCAGTTTGCCATCTTGACGCATTTAAAGATGAATTGGCAACCCCTGGTTCGTCCCTATTTGAAATATATTAGCCCTGTTGCTATACCGACCACCGAACACCGCCCGCCGGACACTGTGGCGGGAGCTGTTCTTCTCGTAGACAGACAGTAACATCCTGAAGAATCCTTAGCGAAGTATATTTTTTATTTCTTTATTTTTCATTATATTTTCTTTTATTTCACAGGCATGACAGTTATGACCATGACTGCAACTGACTACGACGATCCCAATGAAGGTACTAATGCCAGGCTGAAGTACTCCATAGAGCAGAACCAGGTGAACGAGAATGGCGAACTCATCTTCACGATTGATGAGGAAACTGGTGTCATCTCTACAGCTGTCTGTTGCCTGGATAGAGAAACAAATCCTGAATACACTATTAAAGTCGTTGCCATGGACGGAGGGGGTCTGAAAGGTACAAACGTTTTCAAAGGTAGTTAACGACATAGTCATCGTGTACTGGGGAGTACCTTAAAATGCTTTACATTGAGTCTTGCTCACAGACTTAAAAATTATTCAAATATTACTTCAAAGGCTAATCTTATTTTCATGTAATTTTCATAATATATACATTAATTACGTACAGATAAGGATTAGTTTTATTACTGAATGATGTCATCTACAAATCAAACAATTAAATATGCAAAAGTTGGAAGACTTCTGTTATTTTTAGAAAAGGTCAAAATTCATTAAGTAAATACAAATTTTAAAATCTGCTTTTAAGTAAAATTTAAAAGAAAGTTCATAGGTTTGAAACTTTAAACCAAATTTTATAAAATTTGATAGCAGTAGATTTGTAAAATTTCATTAAATATTGTACAATGAATGGTTGGTAATTTATAGATAATTTAAAAAGTTCTGTTTGCCATAATGATTTTCCATATGTCTTGCATTTTAAAGATGTTGTTAATCTTAGGGAAAACATTCATAATATTCTTTAATCTCATCAATTATTGAAAAATATTTATTTATTTATAAAACATAAAAGCATATTTAATTAACACCAGGTAAAAATTAAATTAGCTAGTACTAATAAATGAAATAGTGAGATAAAAACTAACTACTGTCGTCAATAAAAACTTGAAAATATAGTAATTTCAGTAAAAATGTAATGTTATTAATCTGCTAACAAGTTAGAATTTTCGATTTACTTTCCTACTTACTGTTTTTTATTATTATTTTATTCTTTTATTTAAAGATATCCAGATCAAACAGTAAACAATGGGAATCTAAGATGACGCGAAAGTGCGATTGATTGAGTGTTGAATTTACTACGAATTCTATGCTTAAAATGACCTTAGTGTACAATGCGATCTTCCTATTATGGTTGTCAACATCAGTTACCTGTGAGTTGATTATTAAAATTTAATTTTAAAACGCACGTTCAGATTAGCTAACTTGGCAAACAGGAATTGAAATTAGGTACTTGAATCACGTAAACATTAGCTAAGTTTGCAAGCATGATTTGAAATTAGGTACTTGAATACAGTAAAAAACGTGTTAGGTCCTTGTTAGGTTTTGCTCTGCATTGTCTAGTTTCGGTTGTTGATGCAATTATATTGAGTTGACAAGACTAAGAGTAGCTATAAATTATCTGGTAAATTTTAAGATCTAAATCTATCCTGTTTATGATTTTGATGAAATTTATACCTTCTTTAAGATTGAGGTAATTTTATGACTTAATTGTAAAGCATTTATAAGGCCTCTTGTACTTAATGAACAGAATTTTGTAAGATTCAGTTGATTTCAGAAAATTCCACCTAATTTATTCTAGAATTTAACTAGTTTATTAACCTCTTACCTTACTAACCTCTTCGAACGATTTCATTTGCAAAATACTGTTCTAATTTTTATTAAATTTTATTTATGTAATTCTGCATGTCGTGCTACTATTTAACATTTTAAACATGTACAACAAAAATTAGCTAATTTAGAAACATATGAAGTATGTTTTGGTACTTTTGTGATTTGCATTTTGATCTGTATTAGTTTTACATGTAATCTCTGTTCGAATGTTTTAAAAATAAGCATGCTGTGATTACTGAAATTGGAAGTTAATGTATTCTTTCCCTTTTGAATTTAGCTCTTAGAATTTATATTTGCATTCTTTTTATTACCTATATTATGATTCTTTAATTAAAGGAATTTAATTTAATATATTTCAGGAAATAAAATTTTAAAAGTAGATTCAGTTCTCTGATTCCAATTTTTACAGTTGCAATAATAATGAAAGAATTCTTTCAAAAACGGATATCAAAATAAAAAATCAATGTTTTTATAAATGCTTTAAAAAAACTGCAAATATCATTGAAATATTTTGTTTTAGAACTTTGATTTAAATTTAAAAATTCATTATTTAACATCCTTTATTTCAGAATTTATTAGTAAAAAATATTTTTATTTATTTATCACTACTGTTAAAATATCATTCAACACAGGAAAAGGCTTAATTAATTTTTAAATCAGGCAAGTGTATAAAAATTCAAACACTTTGCGAAGCATTAATGGGATGTTAATATTGTAAGGAAACTCACTATTGTAAATACTAAATTTCCAGAAATTGTTATCTTATAATTTCTATGGATACAAATATAGGATTTTTTAAAACACTTGGCTGTAATAAGGAAATAACAAAAGAGTATTAATTAATATCTAACATTTATGTTTCTATAAATTTATTCGTTAATAAGTAATGTCTTTAGTTCTGTTTTGTTATATTCTCCTAACATGAACTTCCTAATTTTTTGAGTAAAAGTTCTGAAAATGTATTGATTTGCCAGGAAAGTAAACAGTTTTCTGCGGCAGTTGAACTGATTTTCCAATTAATTTTAACATGTATTCTATGGCATTTTACATATTATAAAAGATTATTTAAGTTGGAACAGGAAAAAATACGGATTGTAAGAATTTTTTCTGTTACTATGGTTACATTTAATTGATTAATTAATCTTTCAAGAAAATCAATTTATTTTTCAAAAAATATTTAACTCATTTTGATTTAAAGTTTCCATTAGAAATATTTGAAATTAATTAAAACTTATTTTTTCACTTCCCCTGTGTTAATCTACCAAAGCAAAACATTATTAAATTTCATCTCAGAGCAAAATTTAAAAGCATGAATTTTAATTACACTAAGTAGCACTGGGGACTTTTATAATTGCATGCTTTAAAATCTTTATATTCATTAGGTTTTTCTGAACAGGCTTAGAAGTTCAGTTGCATGGGCACCTTTTTGAGTATGCCATTTTCCAGAATTGAATGTTTTATTTTCGGAACTAATAAATGGCATTCCACTTTATTATGGATATCAATTATTAGTATTCTGTTTTTATAGTGCTCTTAATATAAAAAAATTCGGAATGTGTGCATGATTAATTAAACTAACTTATCAAGAATCTTAATCTAAATAGACTGGATTGCTATTTCCTCAGGCACTGGTACGGCAACTATCAAGATCAAAGACATCAACGATATGCCTCCAGAATTCACGAAAAAGGAGTGGCAAGTGGAAGTGGACGAGACGGAAGGAGACAACATACCAGAGACACCAATCCTCGTTGTCTCGGTGAACGATGGTGATCTTCTGGAAACCAATCGATTCAGTTACAAAGTCATCGACAATGCATTTGGAGCGGATAAGTTCACAATGGTTACCAATTCCGATGGCACCGGGTCTCTCAAAATAGCTAAAGTAATCTATCTTCCTATATTTTGATCCGCTTTCTTTCTTTTATTACTTCACCCGTTCTACCATCGAGAACCTAAATGTCGCTTTTGGAGCCTAAAGATAGGAATTCTGTCTGAAAAATAAATACTTCTGGAAACTTTTAAACATGTTTTTTGTTCGCTTTCTTTCAATTACGTGGCATACGGGCAAAATGAATTGATTAAATGGTTGGAATCGCTAAGATGTTCGAAAATTAATTTTCAAATTGATGAAGAAGAATGGTATCCATTTATACCAGAAGATAATAACAGAAATTCTCCCAAAATCGTTTGATGTCAATCAGTAGGGGTAGTTACAGAATGCTTCATTTTAAATTAAATAGCTTTTTCTGGGGAATAACTAAAGAGGCTTTTACAAATGCAAATCCGCCTTTCGAAAAAGAGCAGTTTAATGGGCATTTCCGAATAAAAGACTTGTTTTTAAAAAACGCTTAAAATAAGCATTAGTTAAATTACTTCACTGTAGAAAATCGCTAATAGGTACCTCATCCTTTAAAATTTATTCCCGAATCTATTATTGTTATGTTCATAGACTGGGTTCTAATGAACAATGCTGTCTGCCCAATGGCATTTTGTTCTGCAAGATCATAACTACCATCATTTTGCCTTCTTTTGATATTAATGAGTAAAATTTTATTTTGTACATGATGTAAGATTTTTATCTTCCTGTATATTAATTAGTATACTTATTTTAAACTCTGCAGTGCCTAATTGGTTGCATTTTTATATTCCTAGAAACTAGTTGATAAAATTCCGTTTCCCCGCCCCCTCTCCTAATAGTTTTTTATACGATCGTAATAGGCTTTTACCTTCATCGATGCTAGTTAAAAGCATTTTTATCTTTCTGTAAATGGATAAAATGCTTTTCATTGTACTCGAGGGCTAAGCATATCTCAAAGCACCAGGAATGGTGCAGGTAGTATATATCCGCCAAATAATATATCCCGTAAAGATGTTTTGGCTGAAAGGCTTCACTTATTTAATATCGTTTAAGCAACCATTAAAAGATGAAAGCAGTGAATGAACTGTTCGTTAAAATTTACATTTTTCCAGCTTTTAACGCAGCTTCTTTCTTAACTGCTAATTTAACATCAGAATACGATCCACCAATCAACTTTATTCATTTTACTTGACTCATTTGGTAGCTGATTTATTACAGAAACTGTTTCATCCTATATGAATCGTAATCCTAATCTTCGGAACATTTTATTGCTAAACTGTGCTCTGAGCAATCATTTGTCTAATTTTAATATTTTTTTAATATTTTTTTTATTATTTTCCAGTATGAAAACTAAATAGAATTTTACGTACAATGAGAACGTTTGCTCTTAGAATAAAGTGACAACACGTCCCGATTTTGGCGGAACAGTCTCGATTTTTGGAAGACTGTCCCGCGTCCCGCCGATTTTTAAAAATGTCCCACTTTTTAGAAAATATCTGCATTTCTAATTTTAAATGTACTGTAAAAATTATATTGTCTATTATTTATTAATTATTATATTAAATATAAAGAAATAAAAAAATAAAAAAACACATAAAATGGATGCAGAGTAAACTAAATTTAAGTAAATTACTCGGTATTACTATTTAAGTAAATTGCTCGGTGGTGTTCTATCATTTTCGTTACGTCTCGTCAAGGAATATTTATTCTTAACGGAGGAACAGCTAGCATTAGCTGAAGGGCTAATTTGCTTTCCACACCATAAACCACAATCAAAGTTTCAGATCAATTGATTGTACGTTGCAAATGATCAAAACATTGTACGACAAAAAATTTGCATGTGCAAGGACAAATGCCGCAGCAATTATCTGTAATGTTTTTTTAACTATGTTCGTTTTTACAATTTGCAGAAATAGTTAGATAAATGCACATTTATATCCATATATTATGATGGTTCCAAGCACAAAGATTTAAAATTATTTTCCATAATTGTTAGACTTTTTGATCCAGAAACAGAAATTAAAGTTAGAACATTATATTTTGTTTCATTGCCGGGTGAAAAGTCACAAATAATTTTTGATTCAATAAGTCCTATTTTAAAAATTATTGCCTATTATGAGGATACCACTAACGCAAATTTTGGTGGAAAAGATAGAAGAGGCGTCAATAACGTTTTTACGAAACGTAACGAGCATTTGAACAAAACAAAATTATAGGAGTAGGTTGTGCAGCGCATATTCTACATAGTACTGTTCAAACAGCATCTGACTTGCTTCCAGTGGATCTTTAAAATATTATTGCAAAACCTTATCCGTATTTTTATATATATACTGTGCGTGTTGAAAGTTTGAAGTATTTTTGAGAAAATGCAGAAATCGAATATAAAAGAATTATTGGTTATAGCAAAACACGATGGCTGTCTCTTTTACCAGCTGTAGAAAATATTTTTAAAATATATGAACCATTAAAATCATACTTTTTATCACAAGATAAATGCCCAAGAATATTGCAGCTCTTTTTGGAAAATGACGCATCACAAATTTAGCTTCAGTTCATCCACAACCAAGCTACATTATTTCACAATGCTGTGAAAATTATTGAAGGGGACAAAATTTAAATTACGGAAGTGTCAAATGAAATCAATAATTTAAAAACAAAATTGCGAGAAAGAATTGATAATGATTACGTTCCTTTAGTTATTCGAAAGGACTTCACTAGGTTGGAAGAACAAGGTGCCATTAAACGACCTGATTTTCTGAAAGAAGTCAGAAATTTTTATAATAACTGCTTGGAATATCTTGAAGAACGGACAGTTCTATTCGAGGATATTAAAGATTTTCATTAGGTGACATTAAAAAAGGAGATTTTATGGGAATATGTGGGAAACTATTTTCCAAAAAATAATATTTGCGAAAATGATCTTTCTGATGAGGTGTCATTGGTAAAAAGATAAGCTACTGAAGAAAAAATTAAATATTGTTTGTCTGCCAATATTTGCAAATGTGGAAACACACAAAAAATGGACGGAGTTATTCCTTCATTTTAAACAGAATAATATTTCCTATGAAAATATTTTGAAAATTGTAGAACACTCGCTCTCCCTTCCAGGAACAAATGCAGCAACAGAACGTGTTTTTTCTAGTATCAATAAAGTATGGACTACAGAAAAAATTCAGTTGGACATTAAAACTTTAAAATCTATATTAAGCTTAAGATATAATTTGACCACTTCATATGAGAAATTTCTCGACATTTTAATAAATGATCCGAATCTATTGCAAATTATTCGGCTCGGATAAAAAATATGACCGTGAAAGAAAATCATAATATTTTTAATAAAATTTTAAATTAATTAAAAACCATAATATTCAAATTATACTTTTTACAAATATTTTTATAGTTACCAATAGTTAATAATAAATATATTTTTGTATATTCATAGACAAATATATGAATATATACAATAAAATATTTTTTTTGAATTATTGGTCTGCTTTCATAACTAAATTACAATTCACGTTTCATTCCATTTGTTCCACTTTGCCTCAATGAAAATGTAGTCACTTTACCTTAGAACCACTCACAGCATCTAGGTATCAAAGTATAGTGAATTTCTTTTTAAATGATTAGAGCACAGTGTATTTTTAAAGTAAGGTTTTATTAAAATTCTATTAAAATTTGTATAGATTATCAGCTTTCTACGCTAAGCAATGCGAAATTAATTTTTTGTAGTTGATATTCTTTCTGGCACAACAGCAAATACGGTAAAGAATCAGTTTTTCGATTCACGAAATAAACTCTAAGGTCTGAATATTTTTGCATCCCTACCAAAGAAATTTACTGCTTTGAGAATCTTTTCTTTCACAAAATACCGTGTATACTTCATTTTCTTCAAGTGCCAATTTGACAGCGATATTTGAAGTTGGATGCATAGATAATTCGCGCATATTTAACGTTTTGTCGATCATCAACGAGCTCGGCTGGCATTCCTGTTACGCACCGCAAAAATGGGCGCAAACCAACATAGGTACAAATTTACGACTGACAGATATTGCTCGTATATGGAAAGAAGAATTGCTTGACCGCGCAGCAATCTAAGACTTAATCGTGAATATTAAAATATTATTTTAAAACTGCTTAGTGGGCTTTGCAAATACGGACTCAAACTTCAGTGAAACTATATGTGAGTTTTCTTTCCGCAGATTAATTATCCAAAATTATGCGAAATTTCTCTCAATGCTAAAGTTTTAAGTTTTTTAAAAGTAAATTAATATATACATGATGTACGATTCTAACCTGTGTACTTTTAAGTTAAAGTTGAAGAATCTTAAGAACTGATAAATAAAGTTTCACAGAACTCCTTCTTGGAGTTTTACAATAAAGCTTCGACTCGTGCTTGAACTTAGGAAACTAAGAACTAAACTAATCTTAATTAAAAAGATATAGCCGAAGCTATCAACTCCTTAACGCTAAATAACGGCGAAGCTATCAAGGGCCTAAAGTACGACCGAGCGTAATAATAGCTTAAGAGAGAGTAGCCTAAAAAGGCGAACGCGCGCTAGTCATAATCACTGGTTCTCTAACGAAATCAGTAGAACTTCACAGTTAAATACTTCTCCTCGTTTGCATTCAAACGCGAATCTAAAAATACGTTCTGGTAGGAAGTTGCAAGCTTGAAATTAAGAAAAGGTAGGACAGTAACTTTAACACAAAATTTAACTGTTAGATAAACTATAAGGTATTTCACCCGCTTTCCTAGCGTCCCTTCGTGGTGTAGTGGTTCTGCAAACTGGGCCGGTATCCAGAAGTCGTGGTTCGATTCCCGGCGAAGGCGGTTGCTAATTTTTCATATCTCCTGCTTCCAAAAATCCTAATGACTCTACAAGTGGCGCCCGAACTAAAAAGGTTGTGGATGATGATTCTACACACCCAAGATTTGGCGACTATGTTCCCTAAAACCCTAGTTACCCTTTAAAAAGGGGAGTATATAAGGTATTTCTCCCGCTTTCCTAGCGTGGTGTAGTGGTTCTGCACACTGGGCCGGTATCCAGAGGTCCGTGGTTCGATTCCCGGCGAAGGCGGTTGCTAATTTTGCATCTCTCCTACTTCCGAAAATCCTAATGACTCACCAAAATTAGCATAATCCTTAGAATGAATAAAAGAGAAACTAGACTGTGAGACGTTTTTCCTGGTAAGTGACTTATAAGTCTACATAAAATGCCCGGTACATCCACTGTGTTTATTTTTATTCTTTCCACTTGGTGCTACATTTTATTATGTACTGTCTGAAATACTCTGTGTACTGTTTGAAATAGATTGCTTTAATAAATTCGTAAAAAGTTATTATGTTTTATAATTTATGCTTTCAAATACATTCTGCCATTTCCTTATAATTCAAAGACTCGTATAAACTCTAAAGAACAATTCTAAACGAAAATGGTCGCATTACTCCCTTAAACTGCAGTCTTTTTTTCATTTATATTTTAGAAATGTTGTTAAACATTTAAGTGCTAACACTGTAAATTCAGCCCGGTTTTCAAAGATCATTTGTCTAATTTTATGGAACGGTGAATGAAAAGGTATTTCGCGTGTATTTAATGTTCTTTGCCTGTTTCAGCCCCTTGATTTCGAAGACTTGCAACAGCGTTTCGGCTTCAACATCACCATCCAAGTTAGTGACCACGGCGGCGAATCCTCCGAACCTTATCACGTAGACTATGCCAAGGTTCGCGTGCGTTTGCGAGACATCAATGATAATAAACCAGAATTTGAGAAGCCTAATATCGAAGTCATCGTGAAGGAGGATGCAGATATTGGCACGAGCTTAGCAACTTTCAGAGCTACAGACGCGGACCAAGGTGGAAAGTCAAGAGTCAGGTAAGTAACTGTAACTGATATTGTTGTAAAAAATATTTAAATAATCATATAAAGAATGTCAAAAAATTTTGACAAATTGTATTTTCATTTTTTTAAACCTGAATTTATTAAGCCTACCATTTTGTGTAATATGTTTCAACATTTTCTTTACAATATTCCCGAGTTTAAATTAAAAAATGATTTTCTTTTTCGAGCAATAAAGAACGAAAGGTTAAAAATTTAATCTGTTATTCCCAAAATAGCATAAAATGAAAATCGGTCTTAGTATGAACTGTAACTCTTTTGATATGGGAAATAACTGAATTTTCTGTGTATCCACAGAGAAATCTGCGATTATTGAAATGAGAATTCTTAGTTTTCTTATATATTATTTTATTCCTGAAAAAGAGATAGTTTAAAAGAGTTTCATGAATAATATGTATGTTTACATTTTGTCAAGTATTTTGAAATCTTCTACGCAAAAACGAAAGCGGTGGTGAAGTTAAATAAGTACGTTTTTGCCATAATTGCTGCTTATAATAGTTGGTGGTGGTTTCTAGAATTTCTAGTTTATTTTTGAAGGTTAAAAAACCATCAAAGAATTTTTTAATATTAATATTAATAATAAATACCTACAATATATTTTAAAATCCGGTACAGTTTTAAATCACTTTTGTACTGAAAATTTTACAGAATATTTTGTGGTATTAAATTCAAATACACTAAATATATAATTCTTATTCTACATGTTAAATACGCTGAAATCTTTCATGGAATTACAGGAAATTAAATTCCACTGAAATCGAAATCGAGTCAATGGCTAGGCGGCAATTAGTAGCCAACCGCTACTTTAACCGTCTCTGTTGGTAAATTGCTCTAAGGCGTTGGTATTTAAGTTTTTAATTAAGGCGATTTACGCTGCGCCAACTAGGTGAAACTTGTCAGGTTTTGTGAAATGTACGTGGAGTAGCATCTGGAATTGCTGTTCGAGCTGTGACAGTATTCGCTAAGCGGAGGGAGATGATTGGCAGGAGCCTGTCACGTGGGTGGAGTTCAGTTCACCAAGTTCAGACTCCGAGCAAAGCAGCTTACCGGTGCAATGAGAAATATTGGGTATATTAATAATTATCAAGTTTTGAAACAGGTTATCCAGATTGGAATAATTAAACTAATATCGCGATCTAAATGATGACAAATGACACAACTGAGTGCAACAGATTAGCTAAACAAAATATTCAAATTCCTCCTTGTTGTAAAACACAGATTGGACAGTGGTAGTCGTGTGCGGGTCACCCTCCCGTGAACTATCCACAGCCCAATGCATCTTGAAATAGTAGATATCACAATTCAGTGAAGTCTTGGTCTGAGAAATTAAAAACACTAAAGTTCTTGTACAACACTGAGGCACATGAGTTACTGAAACTATACACTATGTACATATAAGGACGGCGGTATTTGAGCGAAGTAGCAAATGGTGAAAAACACTTTACACTAGCTATAAATAATCAGAGCTTTGAAGATCCAGGTACACGGATCATGTCCATAAGTCTATAAAGTTTCAAAGACACTGGTAAAATGACACAATGAAGATTAAATATAGATAATAGTACTATGTACAATATATGCACATTTCACCATTTGTTGTTATGGAAGATGCCTCTTGGGCGCTTTGCTGCATTTTCTATTGTAGGATCATAATTTATCAGATCACGGATATGTTCGTATTGAGAAAGTTCTATTTTAGCATAGAAATTGCGGCTCGTGGTGAGAATTTGATCAGCTATGGGTCTTATTTTTAGTTCTTCATGTATCTGCAGGTTACGTACGAACCACAGGGAGTCAGCAATTTGCCTGAGTATTTTGTTCTGAAAGACCTGTAGTTTGTGTCTCTAAGTCTTGTTAAATTCCACTGTACTGGACTTCTTAATTTATTTAAAATATTATTTATTGTTGTAGCTTTTAATGCTGATAATATACAGTGTATTGAAAAATAAAAAGGGGTACAGACTTTATTTCCTTAAGTATTGATTACTAGGCGTATATTTCCAAAATAATACAACAGTACCTCGCATAGTCCAGCTAATCAGTTCCAAAATTATTCCGTTGAAATCGGGCTAAGCTATCCATATGAAGAAATGATAATTGGTTCTAAAATAAATTTATCCTTGTTTGTTTGTAAATGAACAGCAATTAATCAATTCAAATACATTTATTAGAAATACTTTTATAAATTCAAATTTTACACAAATCAATTTTTTTTTCTAAAATTTGCAATAGCAATTAACATTTTTCTTTTATGGCCATTTCATTTTATATATTTCTTTGTTGCAAAGAGTAACATTATTTATCGTTCGGCAAACTTCAAAGCTATGCTAGGCAAATTGCAAAACTATGTTGTTCAATTTTAGGATTAACTTACATAATATGCTGTGACGTTTCAAATCATTCCAATCATTTCCAGTTGTTCAATTGTTAACTTTCGTCCAGGCACTTCAAGGCAATTGTCGTTGTTAAATTGTTCTTCCATTATGCACAAGCCAATTGTTTAGCCGTGTTCCATTAATTGTTCCATTATTTAGTTAATTAATATTCAGTTATCTTGACGTAGTCTAAATCATTGAAACCCAGTTGGTTTCTAATTTCTATTATGTTGTTAGTGATATCAATAAAATGAGCTTCAAAAGTAATGTAAGCATTTGCTCAGTGTGGTATATTTTTCCATAGAGCCATCATATTGTTTATCATCAATTCATGCTATGCTGCGTCTGTATTTTCGATAACATATGTAGCAACTCTTACAACATTATGTTAAATTAGGCGTACTTTCCCCTCCAACATTAACTATCAGAGCTCAAGAATGAACCGCTTGGGCACGCGTATATACGTCTATAACAGAGAACTCCAGAAAAAAATTTAAATATGTATCTTATCGCATAATTTTGAAACCACGGGAAAATACGCCGCATAAAAGGAGATTAACCATATAAAGTGGGGAAGTGATAATTTAATTGTATTAAATTTTATTTTCTTATTTAAATTTTAGTTTATTTTCAAACTTTTAAATTGGACTATGGACAAATACTCAAAATGGACTATTCAAATGGAACCCGAGGCTCATCAAAGCCGGACTCCACGAAGTATTCCGGTAACTAAGAAGTTACTCAAAATAAAGTAGAGTTTGTGGAAACAACTTCAGTAATGGCGACAGAACAGTTTTTGGTCCTCGGTATAATAGTTAATGCTTAGTGTTATCGGTATACTATTTAGTGCTCTTAGCTGCTGTACCGGATTCGAATGGCAGAGAAAGTATGAATGTTTGTAAGTATATACTGTATGTGCGGTAAGTGCTCAAACTGCACGGAGAGCCAGAAGTCTTCTTGAGTGGTTGGTGGAAAAGGAAGAGGGATGGAAGGCCTTCAAACCGTTCTCCATCAAAACGGGAAGGAAACTTATATAAACTTATGTATATATATGTAAGTTTACCACATATGAAAATCAAGTAGTGAAGAGCACGAGTTAAACATAATTAACTACTTTATTATGAAATTAATAAGATGAATGAAATTATGATTAGATGCTGAAATGACATATATCTTGTGATGGATGGAATTAACATAAAAGCTGTAACTCCACAAAACAGTTCTTCCATGGTAAATCTCTCACACAACTATTGATCACAATAGTCTAACTGAAATCTTAATTCCTTAAGTCTTGGTATAAACCTTGAGAAGGCACGCCTGCCCTCATATGGCTAGCTATAGTAAATTGTCATCAGCTTGGCTTACAAAAGCAACTTGAGCCTCGAAGGAAACCGTCTGTTTCCCACCAAATCTTGGAGCTCTCTGCCTCTGGCATTGTCTCGACTGCGCTGCGGCAGATGACGTCACAACTTGTTGGGTCTTTGCAGAGTCAGCAGGCGTCAATGACTATGCTTTCCAACTTGTATATATATATATATATATATACAAGTTATGTGTGTGGTGTGTGCTGCTCTGGTTGGTAGAGTGGTTAGCGATATTCTTTTGGCCCAAGCTCGAATACTGGAAAATTATTGGATGTTTTCAGTGTCTGTGCAGCATGGGAGTACTTAAAATACTAGTGAGCCTAAAATCCTGCTGAAAGGTTTCGATAATTATAGAACAAGAGGGGTGGGAGACTTTCCCATTCATCCCCTGGGATGCTTTCCATCAAACCTGGCTTGTTAATAATACAGTTAGAGCTATGGTACTATACCTATAAAACAGATGGTGCGATTCTGGTGTCCCGCCCACTGCTTCTTATACTACTATCAAATATAAACATACTGAAAGGAAATTCACAAGTTTACATTTCCTTCTTTAGATCAAACTTCAGAGACCCACCTAGAATGTTATTATATTGCAAATGTATTTAATTTCTTAACGATTTGTAAATGTCGAAAAACACTTTTGAGAAATTACTGGCGATCTCCCAAGGCAGAAATTCTTTTTTGATCTATTACAAGTTTCCTCCATGCGTAACTGATTAAGTAAATCTTAAATTCTTTAATTTGCTGTGTCATCTAATTGTATGTAGTTTAATAATTTAATGGTCACGTATTCTTGTTACTGCCGTGTTTACTTAATACCTTGTTGCTAATTAAGCTTCCCGAAATATAAATACTCCGGAAAAGTAAAGACAAACTGACTTGTGTTTTAATGCACCTTCGTAAAGGGGTCGGCTTTAGGTTAAACATATGATTTCTTGTTTTAATTCCTCACTTAAATCGCTAACTAGTATAAAAAAGAATTGTGTTACAGTAATATTTATCCGAAAGTAATATAAGAAAATTTCTTTAAAAAAAAGGATTCTTAATAACAGCGGTCAGTGGATACGTTCATCTTTTCGTATTCATAATGCTTCGTAAGCTTTAATTTCGTAATTTGTATGCACTGTCGCCACCTTTCTTTACGCAAGTTCGAGCTTATGAGATTGGAACGGTTACTTCTCCTGAATAAAAATGAGCTGCACTGTATAAAATATTCCAAATTTTTTATGTTCTACACTGCAAAGCATTCCCCTGAGTGATATTTGATGCACTTAATGCCCCATCGCGCGCCGCTAACAAGGAAGAATGGGGACGAAGGGTTCAAAAAAGGGGAATATGGTCACCATTTTATCCTAAAACTTTGACAGATCCTGGAAAAGGATGACTGGAGCTTACTGAATATTTGTATACGGGTTACTTTGGCGGTTATAAGGAAATGGTGTTTCTGCTTTATTATGCGGATTTAAAATAAATTTTGGAGATATATAAGCTTTATGTGGATCGTAAAGTTCCATCCTAAAATAAAGCCCCTATATTGCGGAGGTTCTGAAGGCCACTGAGTACTTTGAAAAAAGTCCTCCATTCTTTTACAGGACTTTCAATTATTATTTCAAATATGCTTTGTTATTTGGATTTTTTTATGTGCTTTATAAATTTGAGTGCAACTTATATACAAAATGAAGCTTTTTTTAGGGTTATCCTTTCTTATTCTGAAGCCAATAAGTTTTCGGTTATGTTAAACCAAAAGATATTGCATGGTTTTAGGAGTGTATGTGTTTAAAAATATTACAGAGTTATATGAGCAAAATAAGAATTTAGGCCTTGTTCATGTGTAAATGATATTTGTTTGTATATTAATTTATATTATGAAAGGCTGGAGTTTTTCAGAATACTTGAGAAAGTTTAGCTTATCAAGAAATAGTGCATTAAAAAAGTTCTTTATAGTAGCCACCCTCATTTCAGGATTATTTATTATGAGATTTAGAAGTAGTGTTAAAAATATTTCAACTATATGTATCGGAAACTTTTAGACAAAAACACTTATAGAAGAAATATATTGCATAGAAATATGTATTTGTTCATATTCTACTCTTGTCTTTCAGCAAAAGATGTTTTTTTATCGATATTACGTGATTTTTCTGTACAGCATTTATTCTATACTGTTGCAGTTACACTAACTCCAAGTATCCCGAACTTTTCTTATTTTAATTCTTTTTTTATTTCTAGGCCAAATATAATTGAGCTTGTTTATTTTACTTAAATTACATAAGAGATTTTACATTTTTTTATTTATAAAATTATATAATATATGGTAAGTATAAGACGTATTTTTAAGAAATTCATATGAAAGTGTATATCATGTAACCACAATTTTTGGAAAACACCCAACCTATAATATTATTGAAAACGCAGTTACACACTGTGTGAGAAAAGCAAGTACGCACTGTGATATTCCTTACTTAGTTTGTGAGTCCTACTCAACTACAAGCTAAGTGACACAGCTTTTTTTTTCTAAAGATAGATTACTGTAATAATGTTGTGCTAATTCTCTCTCAGTGTATGGAATTTGTATCTTATGAATACAACGAAACTACAGTCAGTTAATTTTTGATGTACATCTTTTTTTTTTTTTTTTTTTTTTCACGGAAGGAATGTGCGTGTATATGCGTACGAGCATGCGTACATACGTGAGGCTTATTAAGTGTAACTTATTCCTACTGCAATAATTTTAATTTGATTAACATTACTTAATTTTCTCGTAAAATGTTTGTTGAAATAAAATACGATGTACAAAAAACGATCTTTTTATTATGTTACAGTAAATGGTATTAACATACAGAAAACAACAGAGAAAACTGTGTTAATTTTCCGAATATCCGAACGCGTTATATAATCAAACGATTAAAATGTTCGTTATAATGAAAAATAAAACGTGTTCGTTTAATCTATTACCTCGTCATGCAAGTATTTTGTATAGTATTATCGCTTAAATTTTTTTCACAGAAACTTAGAGATTTACGATCTGAAACATCTCGAAAGTGTTTTATGCATTTAAATTCACTCAACGATTTTGTTTTCTTACATTTAAATTTGGCCTTTGGATGAAAAAAAAGTAAGTAATCTACTTTAAAATAGAATGCGCTTCTAACGCGCAAGCATTCCTAATGTTTTCGACAGCTATTAACTTTAACCCTACTTCTGTTTCTTGGGGGAAAAAATAAATGACAGTGAAGGGGGAAAGAAATAGATGACATCCTCTACCTCTTAGCCGACCAAAAACAAAAAGAATATCCAACCACCGCAACAAATGTAGAGCGAAAAAAAAAAGATCTGATGCATTATTTCGATCATCAGTTAAAGACACTTTTTTTAGCTTTGAATTTTCTTTTGTTTCCTGGCTCTCTTTTTTAATTTATTTATTTTTTCGCATCGATTGCAGTTACACCATCGACCGATCTTCGGACAAAAAACGGCAGTTTCGTATCGATCAGAACGGCGTCGTTAGAATACAAAGGACCTTGGACAGAGAAGAAACACCCAGGCACCAAGTGAAGATACTGGCCATTGACGACGGTATGCCACCCTCCCTTCTTCCAATAAAGAAAAAAGAGTAAAAATTAAGAATATGGTTTCGCGTTTATATTTGTTTAGTTATCGTGCTGAAAGTTGGTGGAGAGCTAATGATTTGGAAAGGGCAAGAAAAGATGTTTTGCTTGACTGTTACTGTATTTAATATCACATTAAAAACAGCTGTGAATATGTCCAGCTTGTAACAGAAAGAAGAGCGAATTATTCAAATCAATCTTTGCCTATCAGAAAAACATTGACAGTGTTTTAATTTTAATAAGTTGCTTTATAGTTTTTGCTAAGTTGTTGTTCCGTAAAGACAAATTACAGCAACTTTAACAAAAACAAAAACTTGTCTTGCTTATTGTAAGTGATTATTATCGCATTTATTTTAGAATAAATCAAGCTTGAAAAGATAAATGAGTGAAAATTATTTTAATTTTTTGCCCTAAAAAAAAATATTTTAGATAATACAGATCCCAACTTTTATGTATATTTTTTTATTATTTCCAACTATTATATTATATACCGCGCTTATATATTTTCAAATAAAATAAGGTATGCAATCGATATTAAATACGTAATACGTTATGTATTTACTACCGATTACAAACTAATAATATAGCATACTTAATGAATTATGTTAATAAAATACAAATGATATTAATAAATGCAGTATAGTACTTTATTTGTAATTTTTATATCTTGGTATAATTCAGTTCAACAATAATGTTGCATAATCATTTAAATTCTTATCGCAATTAATTAGAAGCAGTTTGCGTGAAGTACATTATCAATTTTTCAATCATTTAATAGCAATGGCCTTTCTCTTAAATCTTTCTCAGCGTGAAAAGTAAAGAAAATACGCTAATCTATTAGAAGGTGTGATTTTGTAATCTCCTTTGCATGCCTGTAAAACACATTTTAATATTCCTTTGTTCAAAACATTTAAAATATTCATTCCACTTCCTCCAAATTTGTCGTACTGTGTTATTGTAAGATATTAATATATTCCCTATAGAAGTTAGGTGTTAAGAAACACAGCATAACTCGTATTGTAGTTCAACCAGAACTAAAGCGTTTTTCTACCACTCATCGTAATGTCGCTGTTTGAACAAAGCCTCGAATTTTTTTATTAGAAATAAATCAGTGTTTTGCCACAATCATTTATTTGTCGATTTCTCGTTTTCTAATCCAACTATTCTTTCTTCTTAAGAACATGGTTTTACGTGTCAACATTTTCAGATAAATCGAGCTGTCCAAAATGCTTATGGGAAAGACTCATTCTTTTGATGCTTTCAGAAAGAAGCTAAAAGAGGCATTATTCTTTCAGTGCTTTCATAATTGACATAAGCTGTTACTATGTGCATATTTAAAAACAGTATTACTTGGAAGATAAATAATAAATATTATTTTTTATAGAAACTATTTTACAAACATTTTCTGCGAATAATTTTAAAACATAGGTGTGCTTCCAAACAAAATGCAAATAAGGACAGATCCTTTAAAATATCACAATATTTTGCTTCCCGTACTGACGAATAAATTAGAGCTAAATTCACGTGCAAGCGTATTTCAAAATGCAATGAGTTCACCATAATAAAATTAATATCGCAAATAAAATGAGTCGCACGGACTGGAACTGGAAATTTAGTTAATTCGAATACATTTCGTTTTCCCCATAACACGATCAATTATTAAATGCAAGTGGCCTTGTTTGGGTCATTCCTCAGCCTTCAATATACCGTTCATCAGGAGAGTAACCATTTTAATGAAAGACGAGGAACATTTCTTTCACACTCTATTATTACTGCTTCTAATCCAAGCATAGAGTTAAAATTTCAGTTTTAATATGATATTAGCTTGTAAAGCTTGAAGTATAACGAAAATGAACAGTAGCGTAGTGTTAAATTTATTCAAATATTTTTCAATTTGAATACATACAACACAAGATTAAAGAAAAAACGTTTCCAAGATTTAATGTAGTTTATTATCACCAATACCTTCACACTTTTCATGATTTTATGGTGTATTACCATCACTTTAGAAGTGATAGTACGACTAATTAATTATTTTGCATAATTTTAGTATAATAATAGTTAATAATAATGGAAAATATAAAAAAGCTATACATCCCCCCCATCTCCGGCAAAATGTTTCTTGCAGCCAACTGCTCTTTAAGGAAAAAAACATTTAAATATCTGTGAAAGTTGAAAAGAAAAAAAAAGTGAAATCTATTATTCTTTTTCAGGTACACCACCACGGACAGCAACAGCAACACTCACAGTAGTAGTAAGCGATATAAATGACAATGCTCCTCGATTTTTGCGAGATTACAGGCCCGTCATTATGGAACATTCGCCACCACAAAAGGTAGAAGAAATTCTAGCAACGGACGACGACGATCGTTCGAAAGGAAATGGGCCGCCTTTCACATTCAGGATGGATCCTAACGCTCCAGACATCATCAAGCAATTCTTCGATGTTCAGCATGATCCCAGTATATAAAAATTTTATTTATAATATATTTCTTTTTAATTGGTACTTGATAGAACTCAACGTTTCTCGCTGATCGTAGCAGTAGAAGTCTAGTTTTTAGGTGACTTTTTTTCCTTTATTTAACTATATGTAAATTACTAGAGATATTGATAATCTTATGGAAAAGGAAAATATAGATAAACCGAAATACTTATATGAAAATATGAACTTATATATTACATGAACTTATATATATATATAAAGTTGTGTGCCCAAGGACTGTTTATAGTGCCACTGTTTATTATGTTGTTTTGACTATTTAACGAAATAGTCAAAAAGAACATTTCATAAAAAGTAAAAATTTAAAAATTATTGAAATAAACCATCGTCTTTATAAGGTTGATTTTGTCTAATTTTAAATTAATAAATTTTGACATTAAAATAAACTATTATTTTCATTATAATGACAAATTCATCTTTTATGAAATCTTTTTATCTATCAAAAAATCTGTGGAAATAAAAACTAATGTTTATTTGACATGCGGATGAACCAACTTTACGTGCTTTTCTGGCCATAGTTTTTGTATTTGAAACACACATTTTCCACAGCAATTTTCGCGTGTCTTTTAAATTATATTGCGAAATCATCTTTTATGAAATATTTTTCTTTTTTTAATCTATCAAGAAATCTGTGGAAATAAAAACTAATGTTTGTGTGACATATGGATGAAGCAACTTGGCTTGCTTTTCTGGCCATAGTACTTTGAGTTTGTATTTGAAGCACACATTTTTTCACAGCAGTTTTCGCGCGTCTTTTAAATTATACAAAGAAGCTATAAGAAAGCTTTGGAAAACACTAATGAAAAGAATTATGGGACTAAATTCTCAGAGCTTTTGAAATTATATTTTAATACCATAGTAATTATATGAATTTGGTGCTAATTTTACAGAATATTAATTGACGCAAAATATTATCATTTATTTTTAATAAACAAAAACGAATATTCCGTTGAAATTATTCTGACGATCATACTCATGTGTGTAATTACACTCGTATACGTTTGAGAAAAAGAGTATTTACATGTATCATGAATTTCTATTTGAATATCACTTGGAGTATTTTCATATATTAAATATAAAGCATTTAATACAATAAAATGTTATACTCTAGTTTGTTTTTCTTTAACTTGTATATTATTTTGTTATGATGCAGCGGGTGCCAATGGGGATGGCATGGCTATAGTAACATCGAAAGAGCGCTTCGACCGAGAACAACAGAAAGAGTACCTAGTACCGATTGTGATCAAAGACAGTGGAACCCCATCAATGACTGGCACCAGTACGCTGACCGTCATCATCGGCGATGTTAATGATAACCGGATGCATCCAGGCAGCAAAAGAATCTTCGTTTACAACTTCAAAGGTAGCGTTTTCTTTAAATTGTATATCGGAGCCCTTATTTTGAAAGCCAATATTTGCCATGACTTTTTCATATAAGATTTAACGTCATTTTTTGTTTTGAAAATGTTAACTTAATATATTGCCTACATGCTGCAGAGATTTCGTTTGCATAGGAGAACACTGTCGGGATAAAAAAAAAAGGGAAACTTCTATAGCTTCCGTTCTACTGGGCCGAGTGACGAAATTCAAATTTCGTTTTTCATATCTCGAAAGCGCGACTTAAGATATTTATTAGATTTATATATAGCGTTGTCCTAATATAAGTATATGACACAAAATCGTACTTTTTCTGAAATAATATGCCAATTTTTTTCCATATTTTGATTCTATGACTCAAATTATGCCAAATTGTGCAAGTTTTGTAAAAATCGCACGAGTAGTTTTTATACAAACAGGTCTCAAGATTTTAGCTCCGCAAGCTAAAATCTTGAGTTACTTTACTAATTAAAACTGTTATCTTTTACTAATTAAAACTGATATATATTTATTAATATCTCTTTTTTGATTATTTTTACTTGATTCATTCTTCCAGAATTCGAAATTTAGGCTTAATCTAAATATAATTCGCACATTTTTAATTATTTATTATTAAAATTTGTATTTTTAAATATTTTTTATGAATTTTTCGAAAAAAAAATTATATTATAACCTACAAAATTTTTAATATCGCGTTAAAGTAGATGTATTTTAGACGCACCTGCAAAAAGTTAGAGTTTTTTATTCCAAATTTTCTAAGATATATATGAATCTACATATTTTAGCGTTTTGAAATTTGGCATCTTTTTTTTTTTTTGAGCGATAATAACGGCAATCGATAATACGCACTGTGTTAAAATTACTTGAAAGTATGAAGATTGACTTTTTTTCCTCTCGTTTACAATGAAGAAAAGGAAAATGGGTTGCTATAAATTAAGAAGTTCGCCAAGTGAATTATTCGTAGCGGAAACTGAAAAAAATACGCCAAGATAAATTTTTAAATTAATCGAACTTCGTGCGCTTGGCGCTGCGCCAGCTTTACGTTCGAGTGATGAAATGTTTTGTATATAATAAAGTATCATATGATTAAATACAGTGTCTTATGAAATAATTGCCCATTAAAGACATAGGTTTATTCTTAAAGATTTTTTATCCATGCTCTTCTTGTCTCCATAATCTTATACTTTACGCAACTTACGTAAAATGCGTAAATGTTTCTATCTTGGAGTGGGTGAAAATTCGCAATTTTATGACACATAAAATATTCACTATTTTTTCGTTTTAAGCTTTATATATGCTTAAATTTAAGATTGTTACGAAATTTTTCGAAAATTTGGGTTAGCTAGTGTTTACTTAGTAGTTAGTGTTACTTTGGGTAGTAAGCGTTTAGTCAAGTAAAAGGGGCGATAACCAGCGTATAGACAAAGTTATCGCATGTCAGTAGTGCCTTAATTGAGATGAGGTGATTGGACTCTTTGGAGCTGCAAGTATAATTGTGTATGCCAATTATATAATTTTATTTATTGCTATTATTATTACACATTACATAATTTTAGTTTCTTGCTATTATTATTATACATTATATAATTTTAATTTATTGCTTTTCTGCTAAAATATGCAATGCACAGTTATGAATATAAAGCACATTTCAATTCACCATAGAATTTTAAATGCGTAATATCAATTGTGCTTTTGTTTTTAAGTAAGCTTTTAAAATGAGAGTACAGTGCAAAAGGATTCTTTTATATGATACATTTTAAAAACATTTTTCACATTTGAACGATACCAGAGTGTCAGTTTTGGAAACAAGAAACACAAAGAATGAAAAAATTTATTGGAATAATTTATTGTGCTTTGCATCTAACTAATGAGCCCATCGAAATTATAGCCAAAACCTTCTGAATAATTCCTCCATTAATCCTTTTAACTTATCAGCGCAAAAATTTCCAATTTCCGAAAATAGAAATGAAAGATTTTAATTCTCCATAGAATCCTTTCATAGAGGAAATACTTTAGAATCTCAAACCTCATGTGCCCTTTCACTAAATAAATTTTTATGATTAATTTTCCTCGCCAATCTATTTTCTAGATGAATATTAGCTTCAAACCACTTTTATTCTCCTGTCCGTAATTTAGGAAATCAGTTCTTCTCCATTTATTTATAAGATGATACTCCAAGTATAGTCTGAATAATGATTGATTATAATATCCAAAAGAAAGGGCCTCTTGGGATGTTTGTTAGAGTTTAATTTTCTTCGCGAAATATTACTCTTGAAGATAAGACTAATGTTTCATCAAAATAAGACTTAAAGCATTCAAATGCTGTTATTCAGCCGCTTCATTTTTTTTACTTGCATTATTAATGCCAATGCCTGCTTTTATAGAATTAATTTTAAAAATTCCTTAATAGTTAATTATGACTCTCGTCGCTTTGTGGAGGGAAATCCTTGTTCATTATTTCATTACAGATAGCAAAGAAATTGAATCTATTCTTCAGTTTTAATGAATAATTTTAATTTAGGCATTCTTCATTCTCGTTATCTCTACTTCAGATCTTCCAATATTTAAGAAATTAAACTTTCATTCCTTCACTAAGTGTGCTTTTAATTCTTCATTTTAGAAAGTGGGATTATCTATCAGATCCTTGAGAGTGAAATGAACTTCTAATTAAAATGTGCTGAACTTAATAAAGTTTTCGTTTCATGTGAAGTTATAGACAAGGCTAAGATGAGTTTTTGTCTTCTTCGCAGTTTGTATTAGATTACTTAAGCAACACGCTGAATGAGGTTTAGTTTATCAACAAGGATAAGCCTAATGCTTAAGTATGTAGCACTTTTTTGTTTTAAAACTGCATTAAAAATTACGTATTCTTTCACCTTAGATAAAATTTATCTCTGAAAATTACAAAAACACCATTTTCTAACTATCATTTATTATGAATTCTTAAAAGTATACATAAAAATTCCTGAAATGTGGAGTAAGTGAGAAATTATTTTTTACCTGGGACCTCTTCTTTCCCAAATAGTGCATGCTAAGTCCAACATTTGAGATTTCGAATTAACACCAAAAGTGGGTTGTGTGGGGTTATCTGGAACTATTAGGAAAGTATTGTAATTTTCTCCCTCCTTTCCGCATGCCTTCGTGGTGTAACGGTAGCACACTCGGCGCGTATTCGAGAGGTCCAGGTTCGACTCCCGGCGAGGGCATTGCTCTTTTTTCGTGTTTTCTACTTATAAAAGTCCTTATGACTCTACAGTGGCTCTCAAACTAAAAGGTGGTGGATGACGATTATTCATCACCAGGGTTTAGCGACTGGGTCCCCTAATCCCCATTCGCCGTTTAAAAGGGAAAATATATAAGGTATTTTCTTCCTCTTTTCCGCATGCTTTCGTTGTGTAACGGTAACACACTCGCGCATTTTCTAGAGGTCCAGGTTCGAGTCCCGGGGAGGGCATTACTCATTTTTTGTGTTTCCTACGTCAAAAATCATAGTTACAACTTAAAAAGTAAATTGTAGAGTGTATTAGGATTGTCTAAATTACCGTAAAAAACTCCAGGACGCAGTTAATAATTAAATCGCTCAGACCTGTAAAGCAAAAATTCAAAACCAAACCTAAAATAGTCTTTTGATTGAAGTCGACATGATATAAAGATCTCGTTCATTCAGAATAACAGCTGAATTTATGCAAATTAAGTTAAATCACTTGTTTTGTCATTTTAATTAAAGAAATTATAAGAAAGTAAGTCAGTTTTAAACTAAGGTAAATGTTTGACTAATAAAACCTGGAATTATATTAATGGAAGTTATATTACATATGCGGACTGGTGCTGACCAGACACTGACCAGCAAAATTAATGAAAATGCGTACTTAAATCTTTCGGTCTGCCTGTCATTGCCAAAAGAGCTCTTCATATGGGATATACATTCAACGAGACTTTGGTAGATAGCTCTTGATGTCTGATAAACTGTTAACGTCCCTATTATAAAAATATTCATCATTTTCCGAAAATTAACGAGTTCGAGGTGATTTTATTTTCTTTCTCTCTCTCATATCGCAACAGCTTGAATAGATTCATTCGTGATGAATATCTTAAGGTCTGTAATTAGGTAATCTGAGACCTGAAAGATCAGTATTTTAATACAACTCACTATTATCTCTTTTTTAGGTGAATCTCCTCCAACTCCTATCGGCCGAGTTCATGTAGAGGACTTGGACGATTGGGATCTTCCGGACAAATCATTTTACTGGGAGAACAACATTGCCCATCCCAACTTCGAGGTGGACAAGGATACTGGCCTCATTGTCATGAAGAATGTGACCAGCGGGGGCACATACTTCTTGCGCTTCGTAGTTCATGACCGAGTCCATACCCAGGAAGTTGCGGCTAATGTGTCCGTCACCGTGAAGGAGATTCCAGAAGAAGCCATATTCAATTCTGGATCCATCCGCATTTCAGGTAGCTATATGATCTCTTAGTTTGTAAGGATCTTAAGTTTTACTAACGTTTATTTTATTTTAAAAACTTTACTATCCTCTCTTATTTTCCACTTCCGGCCAGAATTAAACGCGTTAACTTGTTTATGCAAATTGTACTTGATAACGCCCAAGTATTTAAGTTGTGGCTTTTTGCCAAGAGTTAGAGAGAGGGAAAATTAGCCGCCATGCCACTGCATTCCGCACGAGTTTTCAATCAGCTGCTGCTTGCCTTTAAGGCCAGAGGTTTAGTCCTCTCGTTATTTAAAATGTATTGTAGTCGGCAGTTTGCGTACTACATACGTAATAATTTAAAGGGCAGTCTTAGCGTTAGGCCATTGTGTTAAACTAATTCAAATTTAGCTCTTAGTTTTAGTTAGTTAGTAGTTTTTATATTTTTACGTTCAGACCACAAGTAGTTGGTCTTTCTTTCCGAAGTGTGGGAGCGACTGTATTATTGTGGAAAATAAAGGGTAACTAAACCCTTTTCATATCGTTATCTCTTCAACACTCCTGAAGACATAGTTTATAGTCAAACTCTCTGTCCAGTCAGGACACACCATGTTTCCAAAGCAGATCAAGAGAAATACAAGTCCTGATAAGTTTCTCAATTAGAATTTAACATGCTTGTTTACCCTATTTTCATCCTTAGTTGACAGTTTTTGTCACAGTTTTTTTTTTCCCTTGATCAGCTCTAGATAACTGTAATTCGGAAAATTTGATATTTTTCTAAACAAAGGATATCTTCCCTTTATTATTTTGTTTCTTTTTCTCTCAATACGTGCCCATATTAATCTATTGTCATTCATAAAATTAATTAAAGAGCTATTACTGCTAACTTTATAAGATCTTTCTTAGCATGCGTCCATAGTGTAATGGTCAGCACGCTGGACACGTATTCGAGAGGTTCGTGGTTCGAGTCCCGGTGAGGGCATTGCTCATTTTCCATCTCTCCTGCTTCAGAAATAACTAATATCTCTACAGTGGCGCCGGAACTAAGAAAGGTGGTGGATGATGATTCTCCACCGCCAGTATTTGGCGATTGGGTCCCCTAATCCCTAGTTGCCCTTTAAAAGGGGGAGTATATAAGGTATTTCTCCCGCCTTCTTAGCATGCCTTCGTGGTGTAGTGGTCAGCACGCTCGACACTTATTCGAGAGGTCCGTGGTTCGAATCCCGGCGTGGGCATTGCTCATTTTTCATCTCTCCTGCTTCGAAATAACCTAATATCTCTACAAGTTTGCCACCACGTACTGACCAAGCAATTTAGAAAGTGTACATTTATTCATAAAAACAGCATTCTTTTAGTAAAATAATCTTAATAATTTGCTTTTATTCTTTTCTTTTTCTGTAAATTAAGGAAAACATCTTGCTAATTGTTATATCTTTTTGATATTTAATCTTATTCCTGAGAATGAATACTTCCTTTGCAATTGTTATTTTGTTTGATCAAATTAACAAGGTTTTAGAATTTTATGTTAATGAATCAAAACTGAGACGTATTCCATCATTTGCCTCCTTTATTTAGTGAAAGAGATTTCCTTGAATCTTTCCATATCCTTGCTAATCTTTCTATCTTAATGAATGATTCAAGCATTTTTACTGCATATTGGATTTTTTCAACCTTTACCACATTTTCCGCCATTTAGAGACGTTTTACGTCCTTTTTCCAAATTATATACCTTGAACTCGCTTATCTTGGTAAATGCATTAAAGCCTATTATAAATTACATCTTGTAAATTTTTGTCAATAAACTATAACCGCAGTTATTTACATTTAATTATTGACTGTTTAGCTATCGATATAAAAATTAGCTAATTCTTGATTCAAATATTTCTTTCAAAAAATCATTGCTAGTTCATTGTGGGCTTGAAGGACCCATCTACTAATTTATTTTAATAATTTTATCTCTTCCTTTAAACAGTAAATATTAAGCTAAGAGATCTACAAATACAAATATTTCGCTACTCCAGAATTTTGGCAAGATATGTTAGTTGAATGAAAGGCTAAATTTTAGCTATAAATGCATACTATATCAACCAAAGTAATTTGCACAAAAGTATAATTTCAACTTCGATAACAGTAAAAACATTATTTCAGCCATTTATTTTTATATCTCTTTCTTTCACACTCACTTCAATACATTTACTTCAATGCTGAAAAGTTAACAAACTTTTACCTGTCTAATCTTTCAATATGCATTTGTAAGTATGCGTCTCTAATTTACATTGATTTCGTTATACCCAGAGAAAATTCCATAGCAATTTCGAATTAACTTTTATGCATAAATATACAGTTAACAGTTAAATAAAAAAATACATAATCTTACGTAAATTAGTAAGCAAATATTTATGTTCTTTTTAGGTATCAGCGCCGAAGATTTCATTCGCGTCTGGAACTGGACTGAAAACAGACAGGTGAAGAGCAAATATCAGAAATTCCGAGACATGATCGCCAGTTTGACAACGACGCGGAAAGACAATGTTGATATATTCAGTGTCATTCTGAAACAAGAGAGACCTCCCATCACCGATGTGAGATTCGCCGCTCATCGTTCCCCTTACTTCAAGGCGAGCATGCTTAACGGAATAGTCGCCCTCAACCGGGAGCTGGTAAGTTACCAAACTGAAGGTGAATCAGAATTTCATAAAATATCGTATGAACTTTAAATGTCACTCTCTGATTTGTTATTTAAATGCTGTTTCTTAAAACTGACAGAGTGTCCTGTTCAGAATTTTTGTCATCTTCATATATTGGGCCATATAAAAAGTCTTCGCTGTTTTTTGGTGCATTTTTTAACAAAATTTGTTTTGTTGAAAATCAATTTTAATCAAGTACATATTGACCATTATTATCTATTACCTTTTGCCATTTTCCGGGTAGCTTCAGAATTCCTTCGGTGTGGAACTTCTATGCTTTATAGTCTTAAACTTGGCCAAGTGATTTTCACCTGCGTTTCGGTCGAATAATTTTTTACCATCAAGAGAGTTTTGCAGAGACCAAAACGAATGATAGTCATACGGTGCAAGGTCTGGGCTATACGGTGGATGCATCAAAACTTCCCAACCAAATTCCGTCAATTTGTTCCGAGTCGTCAAAAATGTGTGTGGCTGCGCATTTGTCATAATGGAACACAACTCCCTTTCTGTTGGCCAATTGTGGTCGCTCTTTCTGGATTACCTCGTTCAAACAGTCAGTCGCACAGTACAGGGCCAAATTGATAGTTTCGTTAGGTTGCAATTTATATGGCACCCAAACATTGAGCTTTTATTCTGTAAGCTGCTCTTTTCAAATGATTCCAAACTGTCATATGATTGATGCTTAGTGCATCTGTTATTTCCTGACAGCTTACGTGCCGGTCTTGCTCTACCAGTTGCAAAATTTCATCGACCAGCCGACTAGAGCGAGGTGCATCTTTGCTATCGAAATGTCCGGAATGGAATAGAGCAAACCACTCCTGGGTCCTTCGTTCTCTCACAGCATTCTCACCTTGCACTTCAGAAATTTTTCAGCATGTTTTTGCGGCGATTTTACGTTTTTTATAGTAAAAATGCATCACATAACGTATTTCTTCAGATATTTCGTTTTCAAATCAATATAACGTTTTACACGAGCACCAAATTAGAAAATTATCTTCACAAACAATGGAAGCTGAATGTTAACATTTAAGCACATGTTCGTTTGAGATAATCGCGTGAGTGTTACCGGATATATAGGCATCAACACCATCTAGTGGCAAAAAAAAACCCGAGGAAACTTTTAATAGGACCAAATAATTACACTCATGTCCATAAATTAAGGATAATTCGGAGTCACGCTGAAATCGAACTCTAAAATAAATATATCACCTGTAAAATCACTACACACATCTTCAAGAATCATATGGAAATTTCAGGAAGTAACCAGATGACACCGATGGTACTTCACAATGACGAGAGTGTAAGACAGTGATATATAAGGAATATAGGCAAAGAAGTAAAATTGTTCGCAGGCGGCTTTATAAGCATTTCAGTGCAATAACCGAATAGTTATGACACAAAGGACGCATTTGGATGATTTTTACGTGGTAGAATTATCGGCCGTTTGGAATGTGGGCGTACTCAACTGGAAGTATCAGACGAACTTGGAATTGCCCAGAGTGTCATCTCCAGGCTTTGGCAACAACGATTCCAAGATGATGTTAATGTGAGTAGACATTACAGCACAGGTCGCCCAAGAGTTACAACGCCGAATAAGGACCGGTATTTGCCAGTTATTGCCAAAAGAAACAAGAGGAGCACAGCCTCAGACCTGTCTCGTCAGCTCTCTTCAGCCACTGGTACGACAATTTCAGGGCAGACCGTGTACAGACGCTTAGGGCAGATTGGTCTATATGCTCGTAGACCTGTCAGATGCGTTCCACTTACTGCAACTCACTGTCGCCTGCGGTTAGCCTGGAGTAGAGAGTATGCATTGTCGCCACCGCAACAATGGGCTTGTGTGATGTTTTCCGACGAGTCCAGGTTTAGCTTGCAGTCTGATTCTCGCCGGACTTTCATATGGAGAGCTCCAGGTATCCGTTACCACCAAGAAAACATCATTGAAGCGACCACCCTTTACGGTGGTGCAGGAGTGCTCGTTTGGGGTGGAATTATTCTGGGTTCCAGAACTGACCTGCATGTTCAAATTGGAACCATGACAAGCCAAATCTATCGGGACGTCATTCTGGAACAACATGTACGTTTTGTTTCGGGGCCATGGGCGCACAATTTGTGTTTATGGATGACAACGCCGTCCTCACCGTGCAAACATCGTAAGCGAATGCCTTCAATCGGAGGATATCACCCGTATGGACTAGCCAGCATTCTCACCGGACTTGAATCCATAGAGCACGTGTGGGACATGCTTGGCCGACGAGTTGAAGCCCGTCAACCTCCTTCCTACATGTCTACCGGAAACTTCGGAGAGCATTGCTTTTTGAGTGGTGTAATATCCCCCAAGATCAGATCGATAATTCGATACTCTGCATGATTAGGCGTTGTACGGACTGTATTGCATCGTCTGGGAGACATACGATGTATTAACAATCATACCAACCATGTAATATTGGTTTTTTGTAAATAGGTTTTTTTTGTAATTTGCTCCAGGGAGAAAAAATCGCTAATTTTTTTAATAATATCAAACATATAGCATCTTTTTTGCTCTTTACCTTTTGTTTAATAAATAAGCTTTACAAATAAGTCAAATTTGTTTTGCTTCTAACTCTTCTTTTGCCTGATTTTGCATTAATGGACATGAGTGTATTTTAATGGGTATAAACTTTGAGTCTATGAAAAATGGATAAAATCTTAAGAATTTATTTCTGATATAGGTCTTTTAAGCAGATACAAAATATATTCCAAGAAAATTGATGCTAGACAATTCACTTTTCTGAATAAATCACTTGTTATTCTCGAATATATCGTTCAGTTTGTTGACAGAAACTATAGTACGTAAAAGTATATATAACGGCTATATTAATTACGCAAAAATATGGAAGGCAATTAATAATAACTAAACAGCCCGAATTTATATAAACACTAGCTTGTGACGAGGAAAAATAACACACGCCAGTTCCATAAAATCATTAAAATAGTTCTCAGGTACTCATAAAAAAACGTTCTTTTTTTTCCCCTCTGTTATAGGAATTCGACTTTAAAAGCCATGTCACAATAATTGTGATGTTAGTAATTAATTAAAACATTTTCACATTTTGTTAAAAGCTGCAATCTGTTACTTGCTGTTAAATTTAAAACTCTACTGATTTAAAAATATGAAGCGTACAGTACATCAGCCTCTTAATGATAATAATTGTTATATCTCTTCGAAATTTAAAAAACAAAACCTTAAAACCCCATAACTTTCCATGGAAGAGTCATTGCATAACCTCTACCACTTCTTTTAGCATAAATTAATGAAAATATAGGAATTACTCGTAGCCCTTATTTTATCTTGAGTTATGTTTACCAAGCATTTTTAAATTAAACTACTCTTGTTAAAATTCTTCCATGAAAATATTTTCATTAATTCTTATCATGAAAGGAATAATTTTAGGTAGGATTATAGCATGATATTTAAAAACGAAGAATAATTTATTTTCCAGTAAATCTCTGTAGGAAAAAATAATAAGTTTCTTTTAGAAAACCCTTTACCTTACACTTTGCTTAGCTATTAGTTTGCTATTAAGTCTCTCCCCCAACATTATCTCTTGGAATTTAAATGTAGTGGATATAAGAATGTCAAGTGAAATTTTTCGTTAAAGTTTGCATGTTTAAGTCACTTAAGTAACAGAAGATTTTTTTATTAACATCTTTGTATATTTTTCTTAAGATTAAGAAAATTTTAAAAGAATAAATATCCCAAAAAGAATAAAATTTCAAAGCAAGCTACTTAAATTTATCCTCAAATCAATTACTTACTCATCTAAATTCAAATCCAGTGTAAGAGAAGAAGGAACGCAATAAATATTTTTGCTTATAAGAAATTTTCTTTAATAAGAATTAAAACTTCTTTACATTCATTGTAAGTTTGAGTCATTCTGAAGTACAGTTTTAAGAAGAGTTACATGTTCCCGAATTGTGTTACTCAACGCCCTTTGCACTTTATGCATCTTAACTTGAGCTTAGGAAAATGATTCAGACAGAACTTTTCAATTGGGATAACTTTTATATATATATATTTTTAATGTTATTAAAACATTTTATTATGCATTTAATTTTAACATTATGCAATGAATTAATAATTTTAACATTTATCTCATACATTTGCAAAAGCACAAGCATTAGGCTTACGAAGCTTCGGGCTAAAGGCGGCATAATTTCAGTATATATTTGCAATTAGTTGTAATTACTTACTTATTTCGTTTATTTGCCAGTTTGTAAAGATCCCCAAAATCTGTAAAACCTGGCAACAATATCAATGACTTATGAGCAGAGCAATAAATCATATCTTTGACAATTATAGTTTTTTAAGATTTATTTATGTTTAATCCGTAATCTTACCATCATTGCCACCTGTTTCAAAAATAAGGTTGGAATCTAAAGCTTACTTATTATTTCAAATACACAACTAATAATGTGTGTACTAAGGCAACTTTTTATATTACTTAATTGTATGAAGCTGCTTGATTCTGATACACATACCCATTCATTCTTGGATTTTCAAGATGACAAAGCATGTATCGTTTTAAAGCTACTACACGTCGTTTTCACACATTTTTCAGGGTTAATTAGAAGTGAAGTTGAATATTTTTTAAATAAGATCTAAAAAATGTTTAGTTTTTCTAATAATGGCCATTCAGCATTGCGAAGTTGAAGAACTAAAACGAAATCGCAGTGCTGATTGATCATTATGTCCAGAGTGAGAAGAAAGATGTTATAAAGGTTCACCTTATCTCCCAGAAACTGCTCTAGCACAATTAAAAATGGTCAAGGAGAGCTAAAGTTATTACGATTAGCTCTAGTAAAATTTGAGAAAAAATTCATATTTTTAAGAGCTCGAATTTTTGTTATAAAGGTGACATAAACAGTTCCAATTTGTTTTACAGGGCATTAAATTACGTTTTTTATCATAAGCAAACTGCTGCTTTATCTCAGAAAATCTAATTTAATCTAATTTTATGCTTTATCTATATTCAGATTGAGCAAGAAGTTGGCATTAATATCACGATGGTCGGCATTGATGAATGTCTGTTTGAGAACATCAACTGCGAAACTAGCTGTACGAATATTTTAATGGTAGATCGTCAGCCCATTGTTGTCAACGCCAATCGTACATCCTTCGTTGGTGTCAACACATGGGTTCAACCGAAATGCGTCTGTGGTGCTCGGGACTTTTCGGAAATCGAAACCTGCAGGAAGAGGCCTTTACCCTGTCATAACGGTGGTCGATGCTTCGAATCATACGGTGGTGTGAGGTAAGTTATTATATTTAACTTATCTTATTATAATCTAGCCTATCTCGATTGCTTTTGAATAATATTTTTAAATGTTTGAATATGCTTACATTTTCGATTCGTTTTGCAGCTGCAAATGTCCAGAGGGTTATGAAGGCCCTCAGTGCCAGATGACAACTCGCAGCTTTGGTGGTCGAGGTTGGGCCTGGTTTCCCTCTCTCCAGCAGTGCGAGAATTCACACCTCAGCCTCGAATTCATGACTCGAAAGCCAGATGGTTTGCTACTATACAATGGACCAATATCGAATCCTGATTTAGGAGAGATTGCTGTGCAAGACTTCATCTCCTTAGAATTACAAAGTGGGAGACCCAGGTTGCTTATTGACTTCGGCTCTGGAACAGCAGAGATTGTGGTCTATGTAGACGAATCATTAAGCGATGGTGAATGGCATCAGCTAGACGTTTTCTGGGACCGAGAAGTAAGTATTTACATTCAGTTTGCATGTTCTTTTATTTTACTTTTAAATTTCAATTTTATTTTGCACGAGGAAGAACTAAAGTAACTTTCGTATTTTTTGCTGAAACATTTTATTATTAAGATATATTTTTGCTAAGTTTACAAGAATCAGATATAATTTCATCGATTTTAGCCGTAGTTCTCGTTACTTTTAATGCAGTTGTATCCAATTTTAGAAAGACTGGATTTTTCATGAAAACCTGTAGTCTGACTGACTCCTTTATCGCATTGCCAATACCGAACATTTTGCCAGGGAAGGTTTTCTCTAGAATTCGCTCATAAACCTGATGAATCTATATAAATGTGTCTCAGAATCATTTTCCGTCTACTGATGGATGTCTATTGCTAAATCATTTTCAACATCCAAAATTAGAAGCTCTCCTCTTCGTACATATTTCGAAGTAGATGTTGGCTTGTTTTATAACATGCTGATCTTACCTTTTCCATAATCCATAACCTGAATGCAGATATATGCTCACTGCTAGACATATTATGCCTGATCATAATTTGTCTAAAATGTAATCTACAGAGGCTGTTCGCACATTTTTTAGACGATCTTGGTAAGTGGTAATAAAACATCGTTTGCTGCAAAAGACGTAATTGCAATTGTACTATGTTTTTAAAAGTTAAAATTATCGTCTGTGGCTTGAAAGTTTTGTTTTTATTCAAAATGGCGAATTTCACAAAGCAGTGGTTCGAAGGCTACATTTACGCTCTTTCCGAAGAGAAATATGCATACTCCGTTATCCAAAAACGACGTGAGAGTCATGGTTTTGTGATATCTAAAGCGTTGATAGGTAATATCATCAACAAGAAAGGAACAAAACGTCAAATTGGAGCCTCAAGAGGGACAAAAATTTTAAACAACTATCCAAGGACAAAACGAACATCTTCGACTATTGCAAAGGTACGTTGTTTTATGTTAAAAGAAAATCCCCCTAGTCAAAGGACAGTTGCAAAATTAAACATTAAAATGCTCGGTGTCCACTGTAAACAAAATGATAAACGTTGTTTTAAATCTTAAGAAAGCGAAAAAACGCAATGTGCATCGTCTTCTTCCAAAGCATATCGCTCAACGCAGGACACGCTGCAGAATTCTATATGAAAAACACTTATCCAAAGAAAAATGGAAAACGATTGTCACAATAGATGAAGCATGGGTGTATTTAAATGATTGTAACAAAAAAAGAGCCATTTATTATCATGAAAGGGGAGAAAAAAATTTAAGTACATGGTTCAAAGAATCGAAAGAAAGTTTTTCTATGTGATTCATGATTGTTGCTGGTTTTTCTTACAATGGCAAGTTAAAAATAAAGAGAGTGCAAAAAAATGTCAAGATTAACTCCAAATACTATCAGGAACATATTTTATCGCCAATTTTTCTGAATGAAATGCAATTGCTTTACCCACAATGTCATCAATCTGTGAGACTCCATTAGGACAAAGCTAGCAGTCGCGCATCAAAATCCACTGTAAATTTCCTAAAAGAAATGGAACAAAAAACTAGCATCAAGGGCATACCCTTCACTGATATCCCTACTAAATCTCCCGATGGGTCACGTATGGACTTTTGTGCTTTGGGACTTTTAAAAACTGCATTATCCAAACGTTGTCCCAAAACCCTAACAGGATCTGGAAGGCTCCTCGGGAGGAATGGGATAGAATACCTCGTCTTCCATTTCAAAAGGCATTATTATCCTGGAAATTGCGGTGTCGAAAGATAGTTCAGAATACAGGATGTCAAATAGAACATTTAAAACACAAGAATTTTATGAAATTTAGTTTTGTGAATACAATATACATCGTCTAAAAAATGTGTGAACAGCCTCTGTATTAGTACGTGATTTTTATTTTTTATCGCGTATTTAATATTATAATTTGACTTAAGGTTTGTAGGATTCTCCACTGTGTACTTCTAAGTTACAGATGAATGGGAAGAATCTTAAGAACTAGTAAGCGAATAATCACTTGAGTTCGTGAGGTAGAAAACAACAAGTAAGAAGAGTAAAATAACACCTTTTATTATTTCAACTAAAGTTTAGCAAGACTCCGTCTTGGAGTTGTACAATAAAGCCGACACTCGAGCTTGAACTTAAAAGACTAAGAATTAAACTAAAATAATCTTAACTAAAGGAGATATAGCCGAAACTATCAAAATTCTAACAGAGTTGGCCCCTTAACGCTAATTGCCTACGAACCTATCAAGGGCCTACGCCCGAGCGTAATAATAGCTTACGAGAGAGTAGCCTGAAAAGGCGGATGCGTGCCAGAATATCTGGTATCTCTCTCACTAAACAGTTGAATTTCGCGGTTAAATACCGCTCTTCCTCACTTTGCATTGAAACGTGATTCTAAAACTACGTTCTAGCCGGAAGTGGTAAGTTGAAATTAAAGAAGCGATAGGAAAGGAAGTCTAACTCAAAATTTAACTGTTAATAAAATTAACATAATCCTTACAACTTTATAATACTATAATGTGCAAATTCATTGGGACAAAGCGATTTATTCACAGAGTTTTAAGCTGGTTGCCAGCTGATGACAGAAATTCTCTGTTAATAAAATGAACATAATCCTTACAGGTTTACTTTTGTCCTATCTTTTCGTATGACATTTTATTCGTGTAAATTTCTTTCAGCTACCTTCATGTAAATTATTAGTTTCTGTTTGTTGGTAAATGAAAAAACTAACTTTATATGTTAGAGAAAAAAAGAATGGCATTTAGTTAAAGTTATTCCGCTAGTCCATCATATAATTATTTCTAGAAATAATTTCAAAAAGAGTTGTGGACTTCAATTTCTTGGTTTATTGAAGAACAAGCTGTAGAATACGAGATGAAAAATCATAATTTTTTTTTTACTTACTTATTATTTAAACTACTGAATACCCACTCATTGTGACGTTTTTCCTAAGACAACTATATCTGAAAGTAATCCGTATTTCTAAATCATAAATAAGCATCGATATTTTAATATCATCTATGGTGGCCATCTCCCTAGAAGACCAAACTGAGCTGGAATCTTTGATGGCTTCTTAGATAGAATCAAATTAATTGCAAAATCATCGATTAAAAAATTACATTCATAAAGTCTGTAAATTTGGAATTGAAAAACCTAATATACGAGTATTACACATATTTCGTAGTTTAGTGCATTATTTTTATACATTGAATTTATCTTACATATAACCGGTGTAAATTTTTCCCATCATTATCAAGTTCGTTTCGCTATTCATATGCGAAATTGGTAGTTATTTGACGCAAAGTCCTCTGTAAATCTTATACGAAAGTTTGTTTTAAGTGCTCTGAGAAATTACTGATATTTACGTATTTTTAAACTGAATGGTTTAAGGAAATTCCTTTGACTTACCTATCAAAATCGCTTTGCTTTCGATTTATTCTTTTTAAACGTTTCGGAAATATTAATTATCTCGATAGATGGCTTTCAGTAGAAGTGTATTTATGATCTTAAAAGTGTATAATCTTTTGTGTTCCATCTTACAGACTGTCCGCTTGGTGGTCGACAATTGTCAGAAGGCTAAAATTGAAGACTCAGATCCACCAAAGATAAACAGATCTCGCTGCGAAACAAAAAGCAATATTCCACCTTTCAACGAATTTCTTAATGTCAACACACCTCTACAATTAGGTGGAGTGCACCACCAGTATTTGACGGATTACCGGTGGCAACATCAGCACACCAGAGAAGGTTTTGAAGGATGCATAAAGAATGTAGTTCATAACAGCGAGGTGAGTATTTTCTTAAAACTGCTTGAGCGTTACACTTGCTATACTTGTTCCAACACTGAGATTAAAATACTTACCGAAAGAACTGTAAAACAAAACTTGGAATGAAAACTCAGAATTGTTTATGCTATAGAGCAAATATAGTATCTTCAAATGAGCAAAAAATAAATAAATAAATAAAATAAATGTAAATTATTGAATTTTACAACTTTCTCTTGTGTTTTATGACCGTGTTTAGTTTACATTTCAAACTGTTCGAAAGTTTACGTTGTCGTTTTAAGTAAAATGGCTATTTACTGGTTATTAAGTTTCAAAAAACGCTGTACTAATATATAACAATTTTCTTACTTGTTGCAAATTGAAATAATTCCGATGACTAATTATTTTATTTATTACATATCCTAAGCATTTTCAAGTGACGTGTTAAATTAATTTATTCGCATATAACTAATATTTATAATACTTCAAGACTGGTAAAAATTAGTTGTACATTTTTGCGCATTATTAGCTTGTTTATGATATGATGAATATGCTCTCCTATCGTAATTTCTAAAACCTAATATTTGGAGCCTTACTTTGTATTAGTGTGCACAGTTTAAATAAATTTATAGTTTATAAGTACATTTAATAGATTCAGATTACAAAAATATCATTTCTTCCTCCTTTATGTGTTAAAATTAATTGTTTTGTATTATTCTTTCATTTTCATTTGCATAAGTTAATAAATTTTAAATATTAATCCTTGTTAATCATAATTTACATTTTAATTTGTAAAATGCCATGCTGCATAAGTTTAAAAATGATTAATGTGGATAATAAGTTTAAAAACTAATGCAGTAAAGCTAAGAAAAATATTTTATATATCAAATTGAAACTTTCTTTGATGTTTCTGGATAATAATTTACACTTTGAAAATAAAAATAGCACGCCAAATTTCGATTATTGGAGATGCTAAGGCAACAATCATTAGTGTAAAATTCATAAATTTTCAGAACTAATTTTCAAGGTTTAGATATAGAACCTACTTCTTCAGTTGCGAAGTGAAAATGATAACAGAGAAGCCTGTTCTCTAAGGATAACAATGAGAGGAAGGACATCAAGCTACTGGCGTTATCCGTTGATGAAAAATTAAAAATGCTATGAAATAATTCCTTTAAAAGTTCATGAAAGAAACGGTAGCAGAATTCTTATAATCTTCTAAAACGTGAGAGTGCTTTTTGAGGTGTTGAAATGAGAATTTTTTAACCGCTTGGTCAATAATGTTAAGTGTTAAGTTCCTGCCAATTGTAGATACTTTTCAGTAGTTTAATTCTTGATTAAGAGCTGGCTCCGGTTAATCAATTCTCATCTGAACACAACAAAAGCAAACTCTCGGTTTAGAAGATTATAAGGATTATGTTTTCATTTCTTTATTTTCATCGGACCCACCAGTGGCTGAGCCGTGAAGTCGCTGAACTTTCGTAGTACGGTTCGAGGTTCGAATCTCGTGAACGGACTTACAGCATGGGCGTTTTAATGGTTTTCTCTATGTGTAACGTGTATACGAGTCAGTTTCCCTTAGGAAGTGATCGACGAAGAGTGCTCCCCTCCCTTAGAGAGGCTTTGCTGTAATGACATAAACAAACAAACAAACTTTATTTCAATCGATTAGCTATAAAACTGCACGCATTTTTAAAAAAAAATTAAATTTCTTTTTTTTTTCCTTTATCAATAAAATTATAGTTCCATAGTTTTAGTTTGAACACCCCATTTCGAATATGAACTCCTGGGGTAACATAATATACAGGATTCCTTAACAATGCGGTTTAATTTACTTTGGTCAAACTAAACAAAACTTACATTTCGCACTAAGAAGCATGAGGCATGCGTTAGGAAAAAAAAGGAAACATATAAATATTCTTACCAAATCCTGCTGCTCAAAAATCACATTTTCCTCTTCTCGATAGCCGAAATTATCCAAAAGTCATTTTCCTTTGGCGAATTACGTTTTATAGAAGTGTTTCACATTCATAAAAGCGTTACAGTTGTATTAACGATCCCAGTTCCAATCCGTTTTTGCCATCAGCTTTTAGTGAAATTATTTCGTAGTTGTTCCTATTTTTCACCAATAGATGATGCCAGTAGCTCGACTTCCTCCCTCTTATTGATATCGCCTGAGCACAGCGTTCTTTTTTGTCATTTGCATTTGTGCAGCTGAAGAAGGGGTTCACAACTGATCCTGCAAATTTATTAATATTACCTGATTCTTGTTAGCCTTATAATATCCAATTAACACTCTTTCTAAATTTTAATTTTTAAATTTTAATTCCCGACATTCCGCTTTATAATTTGTAATACTCATTAAAACAATTCAGGTTTTTTTATATATATATACTGCTGTTAACTGCTACAATTTTGAACACGTATTTTAAATATTAAAAAAAAGTTGCCGAACAAACGGATACGTTTCTTATAATTTTGCTGCCCTGTAAACTGAATCAAAATTAAATTTTATAATCACATAATTAGTATTCCCTCCTGAAAATTAAATATTTTTCTTTAAATATATGTATCCTGATCAGTGGCGTAGCAACAGTGGTGGCAGCGGGTACAGAGTTTTAACATGTCACCACAATGTCCACCAAAATATAATATGAAATCTTTTCTCATAGTGACCTTTTTCTAGTACATACATTTATTGTTATTATGATACAATTTTAATTAACACTGAATTGTTTACAAGTTTTATTCTCCAGGCTCTAATCCAATAAACTATACTTCGAATTTCTTTTTTCTAACCTTTTCTTCTGCATATTTTGAAATTACGTCACCAGAATCTATACCCTTTATCTAAACTATTTTTAATTGACAAAATGGTAGGCTAGAGAGTCGTACTCGGTTAATAGTGGATCTGAGATAATTCTTAATTAGTTTAAGTTTCGAAAAGCTCCTCTCACATGACGCAACAGAAACACATGAAGTTAAGAAACATCCTAATGCTAATTCAGCAGAAGCTAAAGAGAGATTGGGAAAAGAAGCGTTAATTTCATATTCAAAAACAGACTCTAAAAACAATAAGCAAGCTCTACCAAGAGATACTTTTTGGAACTTTGGCGGCTTTCAGAAATCTTCTTAGGCGTGGAATTTCTGTAAAGATATCATATGCAGAAAGCTCGCCTCAATATTCAAGCAAACTTTGTAGAAATTTGGAAATTTCGGTTTCTGGGGTTTCTATTTCATTTCTGAGCTGTTAAGACTGCAAATCGATTTGATATCCATGGCAAGCGTTCGCAACTTGTATCGATTTCTCGTTGAGACCTGTCACATTGTCATCACGTGTTTTGACCTTTTCAGTTCTTGGTACAAAGTCAGCGGCTAGTCTTCTTCCCCGAGCATTATTTTCTTCTTCCTGATAGTTCTACTGCAGGAAAGCATTTCAGTGCTTCCTTAACAAGGTCATTTCTTTTAAAAAGACCTTTAGACTTCTTATCTCGATAACAGACTTCTTGAAGCTTATTCCAAGAATCTGTAAATAATTCTGAAGATAGTTGACTTCTTCCATAAACACAAAAACGAAAGATCACACATTGTAGGCAACAGGATTTGAGAAGCATTCCATTCCTGCACTAAACTGTAACCGTGTCATTTCCACTACCATAGCCAGACTGAGGGCGAAACACTTGGAAGGAATGAAGATATCCTCTGATGGTCAACGAAATTATAAAAGCTGTCCTCACTGCATTGATGTCGAACTTTCTCCAAACCATCTCTTCGACTGTCCTGCTATTTTGGCCAAGCTCTTCAGTATCGATACAGCTCCCTCGCACCAATTCCTCTATTCTTCGAAAATTATTGATGTTGCTGCAGCTGTTCTAGATACTTTTGGCGATATTAACCCTCTCAGCGTTATGGCCGGAATATTCCGTATAGAAGGCCGGCTTCTTATTCATTACACATGAAAATTTCTGCTAGCTTTTAATGTATCCGATTTCGGTATGGATGTATATTGAAAGAAAAAGAATCAAGGTACAAAGTGAGAGAGCAGTCTTTTAATTAAAATCAAGAAAATACCACTTATTCATGACAGTTTGAGGAACTTTTGAAATTTTAGGGTTAATCACGTAACGCTCGGAGGGTTAACTCTTCTACACTGACGCCTTGGACAAGATAACAACAACAACAACAACTGGATTTGAGCTATTCCTCTGGTTTCGATAGTTTCCGAAACATCACACAGTTCCTCAATGGCACCGACAATCTTTTTAAAGCACGTATAAGGTATTTTCCTCCTCTTTCAAGCATGCTTTCGTGGTGTAACGGTTATCACACTCGGCGCGTATTCGAGAGGTCCAAGGTTCGAGTCTCGGCGAGGGCATTGCTCATTATTCATGTCTCCTACTTCAAAATAATCTAATGTCCCCCGAACTAAGGTGGTGGATGATGACTCACCAGGATTTGGCGATTGGGTCCCCTAATCCCCAGTCGCCCTTTAAAAAGGGGAATATATAAGGTATTTCCCACTCGCTTTCGTGGTGTAACGGTTAGCACACTCGGCGCGTATTCGAGAGGTATAGAGTTCGAGTGCCGGCCAGAGCAATGCTCATTTCTCATGTCTCCAGCGTCAAAATAGCGTAATGACTCTACGCACTCAAACACAGGATTATCAGCTTCGTAATAATCACTCTATTCTGTTTCTGAATATAACTTAAATATAACTTCAACATTTTTCAAAAGGATCATCCATCTGCGCAGAGAAGCTTAAAAGAACACGTACAAACATTCTAAGGTCCCAAAAAAAAGTCAAACATAATGGAACTGTTGTAAAAATGTGTCCTCCACACAGATTGAAAGAATGGTTTGTACAGGGTACAAATAATGTTTTAGAATTGAGTTCACAAATCCTTGCTAGAGTACCTGAATGAACTTGCATCCTTGTTCTAGGCGCATTGGTATATCTAGACTATCCCATTCAATAACCTTTAAAATATCTTCCGTTGTATATCAATGGCTTTCTTTCCATTTAG